CCTAAATGGGTTACTTACAAGGCAGTACTGAATCACTTTTTAAATAAATAATGTATGTCTTCAGAAAGCAGAATAAAAATGCTATTTGAAATTGCAGCTGCTCTTTTTTTAATCTTTATTTGCATCATCTGGATGTAAGACTTATACTCTGAAGCACGAGTACCCAAGAAGACACCAAGGCAGTTCCAGATGCAGCTTTTGCACAGACCACATTCTTCACCCTGCTGTGCTCCACATCAGCCTACATCCCTCCCTCAACWGTTAGATTTGTATTTCATCCTGCAGGTGATCCTCTGGATTGCCTTCTCAAACACGATGGCTAGAACTACACCTGACAGAGCACACAGCGCTGTCATGGCCAGACAAAGCAACTCAAAGACTTTGGCATGACTTAGTTCATGCCCAAGATCCATCCCTGCACCCCAGGTAAGCAGAAGGCACCACCTGAGACCCTCAGCTTTGTGGTGCACTGTGCTCCTGGTGGCCTGCAGACTAGGAATCAAATGCACAAAAGTATTAGAAAGACAGACATAAGAACAAAACCGAGCTAAGTACTGTTATTCCTCACTGCAAGGGTGAGAATGGAGTCCTTAAAAGGTGTCTGGAGGCAATGAACCATTAATTTGCACAGCACCAACCAGATACAAACACCTCCACTATCTCTTGTCCCTTCCACAGGGTTGGGCTTGTCTCTAACAAAGATGTCTCCTTTTTAGCAGACTTCAGAGAACACTGAGAAAAGAGAGGTTCAGCTTGCTCTCCTCCTTTAATTGAGCTCTAGGTCACGCACTCTGCCTGCAGATACAAAGGAGGTGGCTGCACGCAAACTCCAGAGGTCACCTTTGGTCCTGTATCCTGTCACTGATGAAAAGATTTTAAGAAAGAAAACAAGAGTCAATGTATTCTTTTCTCCAATAAGTAACCGWAGTTTGTAAGAAAATATAGATTCTTCCCAGTTTTATAAACAGAATGAGAGGAGTCGCCTTCCCCCCATAGTCTCCTTTTCCCATCTCTCAAATACCCATATTCAGGTCCTCAGCTTCTCAAATTCRGACTCAAATTGCACAATCAGGAATTCTTGCCACATTGCTGCATTTTCTGAGAAATTACTCTGAGACACTTACCATAATCCTGGCTGTGTCAGAGAACCAAGCTTTGCTAACCAGTGGACAAAAGATGTAGCTGCTTRGAATGTGACATCTGAATTCTTGAAACATGGAGAAGGAAACATCTTTCTCTGTCTCAGGTTATCMTTTATTGTTCAGGATGATCCTTCTTGGTTTAGTCTGAATCCTCATGCTTCAATTCCCGTGAACACAAACAGATTTCCTGGGTTAGGAAAGGYTCTCTTCTACCTTTCTGCACAGCTGCAAATTCAACATCCCATTACATTTCATCTTCAGCTCCATAATTCTCCTTGTAAAAAGAGCAGTGAAGGCATCACAAGAGACAGCTTATATTTTTTCCTCATTTTAACACTGCAATGACTCAATACAAGAAAGGAGAATTGATCTCTCTGCCAAGAGATGGTACAACAAAAGAACCTGTCAGCGCATCCCTCAAAGGCCTCTGCAGCACACAGATCCCAAACAGTGTTTTTACAGCATCATCATCTTCCTCAGTAAATACAAAGTCACCCTGCTGCCTTCAAGGTAAGCAGAGTTACTCAGTGCATAAACAGCTGATTTTCCAYTACTATAATCATAGTTATTAATAATTTCTGGATTTAATTTTCCTCAAAGATTACTAGAGATAAGCATGAGGCACACAAAGGAAAGAGGAAGAGACCAAGACAGATAAAATTAGATTAAACAGTCCTGTCTCATACAGCACTAGAGCTATCATGTACAGCTCTGCCCACTAACACATGYGATTCATTTGGAGCAAGTTTCTGCTCGATTAAATTTCTTCATGGAAAGGGCTGTCAAGCATTGGAATGAACTGCCCAGGGAGGTRGTGGAGTCACTATCTCTGGAGGTGTTCAAGAAATGACTGGACATGACACTTRGTTCTATGGTGTGGTTGACAAATTTSGTGATCTGTCRAAGGTTGGACTYGATGATCTCAGAGGTCTTTTCCAACCTAAATGATTCTGTGATTCTGCAAATATTAAGGCCTTGGAGGGCCACCTAAGCTTCTGTCCCTACAGTTAGGTTAGAAACTCCTGAGCTAGCTTTAAACCAGGTAGCCATTGTGTAGCAGTAGTATGGGCCTTGGGTCAGCCTTGTCACCAGAATCATGGACRTGCAGTGTCACATTATGTCTTTTACCCTGGAAGATTATCACATCCAAAGATGTRACTCAAGAGTCCTAGCATCACAAAAAAAATCAGGCACCAGCTTCTACTGGCACTCATCATCTGSTGCTGACAATCTTTATCAAATCCAGGGCTCTAATGCACTAAAAAAGGAAAATATTTTCTTAYGAGATCGAGAAAAATCACCATAAAGGGAGAAAAAAAAATCTTGAGAATGTCTGGTGATCCAAAGAAAAGGATAAAAATTATAAAGCAAATTTAATAGTTAATAGCTTCAAATAGTCTGAACTATTTTTCAAATCACATTCTTGCAAGGAAGGTATTTCTTCAATACTATCACATCTTCACATAAAAAATCCTAGGAAAGTACAAAGCATGGTTTCAGCATCATCATCCAAGCATGCAGAGAACTGAAAAGCACCTGCATGATAGAAGCCCACAATCCACTTATGATTGCAAACCTTCCCTTACACGTGGGAAGCAACKGCAGCAGCTTGTTTTGAACAAAATGACATGGACACAATCGGAATTGCTAAGAAAGATATTCTGAGCCAGACTAAAGGGCTGCCGAAGGCTTGAAGCTGCCTCCAGTGCGTGCCACCAGTGGGATAAGGAGCACTGAAGAACATGTAGTCAAGAATCCCTAAAATATTGCTCCTCCTTTCAACACTTGGTGACTGTATTTTGAAGAGTGCCAATAGATTTTKCTTGTTTTTTCCCTTAAGTCTTTAAATCCATATAACCTTTTGGCATTCACCAATCCTGCTGCAAAGAGTTCCTCAGACTTCTCACATGTTGTACAGACTCCTCCACTGCCACACACTGTGTACATTTCATGTACAGTTCCTATATTGTAAGAGACTGTGMACAGTAAGACACCCTTTATGCCCACCCACCTTAAATAAACCCTTGGTCATCAGTTTTCCATGCTGAAGACTCATGTTCTGAATATTTTACCCTTATCTTTAAATACCTTACTCCCTCAGCTTTACAGACAATATTTTTTTCCACAGCAAAGTTTCATCAAGCAGGCAGTGTAAGTGCCAAACCCTGAACAACGTGGCAAACGGATGCAATAATTTTTCTGCACAGTGAATGAAAATGAACAGCTTGACTTCTAAAGGAGCTACTCAAAGTTACCCTGGTTGAGTGGGAACTGATAATACACAAGGAACACACTTGAGACTTTTTCCACATACTGAGTTTATTCTTGGCTAGACACCCAGATTAGCTTTACATTAAAACCTGGACTTTAAGGCTTGCATTATGTATGAGAATCCAGATAAGTTTACAGTGCTAATTATTCCACACAAAAGAAAACCTGCCATTAGCAATTCAATGCATCATTTACACCATCAAAATATAAAGAACAATTCCCTTTCTTCCAATAAATTTGGGCATAACAACTGCATCACTTTACCAGTTTAGCTCCTTGCTCTTAAGTTACTGATTCACAGGTATGCTCTTATTAACTGCAACAATTATGAAAATGAGTTTTATCTGGTGAACTTTTGACTGGGATCCATTACAGTGCCATTCTGCCTCTCCCACTGCATCTAGAATGTCGTGGTTTCAAAGTTCAGGGTGCTTTGCAAAAGCAATTTATTTACCACGGGCATACCTRGGGTACTGTTTTCTTACTTGACTACAAGAGACATCCTCCAGAGCTCTGTCAGTGTGAGGGGGTTGACAGAAATCAGCACACAGAAGAGGGGGTGTTGGTGTTGTCAGCAGCCAACACTTCCCCGTACATGAAGACGTGAAGCACTAAGGTGTTGAGCAAGGACCGCTGATTATGGCACTACTTTAATGAGTCTCTAAGATCATCATTTTGTGCTAAGCAATGCACAGAGCAGTCTTGGCATTCCTGTAAACTGTTTAAGTATTAAAGAGTGTGTAAGAGTGGACAAGGGACACAAAGGTGAACACTGTTGGTAAATACAATGAGCAAAGGCAAAAGTAGCTGTCTCCTATTTTAGCAGTCTCAAGCAGCATTTAAAGGCACACCTTGCACAAATGCCCTGGGCAATGAGACATGTGGGAAGGACAAGGAGAAATTCTTCCTAGTATTAGGCTCAAAAGAAAGAATTGAAGAGTTCCTTCCTCTGACTCAGTGAGGAAGGAACCCTGGGAATCTGGCTCACTGGAGCTGTGGTGGCAGCAGAGTAACATTCAGCAGTAGAAAATTATAAAGGGAAAGATCATAATCAGAAAGCTCAACTATAGTAGAAGGAAAAGGCACAGCAGATAGACACATAAAACCTATGAAATTATAGGACCAGTGAGCAATGAGTTGCATCAAAAAACGTAAATTTGCAAGACAAAAAAAAAGGGGGAAAAGGCAATGCCATGAAGGGATGATCTCCAGAAAATGTCACTGTGTCACAAATGCACTCTTTTTCCCCTCTGGAAGAGAGAAAGGGCAGATCAAATTACAAGGTGCAGATGAACACAGTGCTCCCTGCTAGCCTGTCTGCTCCACTGCTGCAATGCTCTGACCCTGACTGCCTGAAGTCATGGTCACCACCCACCCAGTGGAGCACAGGGCTTATCCTGTAGCCTCATCAGCACAGCCATACCAAAAGGCAAGGACAATCACCAATTCCTCAGTTATGCAATGTCTCAACTCACTGTCACAGCCTACAGAATCATTTTGTTTATTGTTACAGAATACAAGAAAAGATCTCAAAAGCGCCCCTGTCACAGAACTTCACCTAAAAAAAAACCCATAAAATATTCAGATTTACAAAAGGAACATATTTATTTTCTTTTAAGCAGCTTTCCCAATGATCAGCACACTCATAAAAAACACCATGATGAAGAAAATCCACATGAAAAACCTGTCCATCACTTTTGCAACTTTTTTCCATTCAATTCCTTTGGCCCTGTTTGCTTTATGATCTCTAACACAATTAGCAATATACTCGATATTTTTAATCAGCATTTTGTAACAAGAACAGCAATTAGCAGTCTCCCTAACATTTTCACCGTGAACTCCATAGCTTTTATTCCAATTCCCATTGAGCTTCTCTTTGAGATTRCAGTCATCATTCCTTACCTCTTTGTGCCTCCTCTGACACCCATCATCTCCCTCTAACATACGTTCTTCTTCCTTCTCTCTTTTTGGACTTGTGCAATTTTCCCCCACATCATAAACAAAGAAGATTTTTGACATATAGTCCAAAATAACCACCTTGGCCCATTGTGGAACAGGCTTTGCTTCTGAGCCACAATGATGGAGATTCATTATAATGATTGTGAGTGCAGTGGAAGCTGTGATCATGGTCATCGTTGCTATGTAGTACTTTCCTGGAATACAAAATAAAAGTGTATTAAAGATGCTACCCTAATAGAAAAATTCAATGAGAAATAACAGTTTGATAACAGTGTCAAACATAAATGCAAGTGAAACAAAATTTTATTCACCCCAATTCTCTTAGATCACAATTTACCAGTTAGAAACAAAGATTAAAGCCATTAAAATAAAATCTCATACTCATTATGGCACGACTTTATCAGATGAGTGACTACTGTATTAGCATGGTAAATATTTGCAAGTCAAAACCTCGGATATCTTGGAATACATCCATTCAGAAAGCAGCTCAAAAATGTTTTTCAAGAGCCTTGCCCTTTTCCTAGTGTGTGCAAAATCCCCATGCCAATGGCTTCACACGTCATTTGGCAATCCCACTTCCAATGTATTAACAGAAGCGATGGTAACACTTTGAGCAGTTGGTGCACCCACCCCACCCCAGCACATCCAGAGCCCTCACCCTCACACTCCTCGCTGGTGTCCACAAGCAGTGTGCTGCCAGCTCAGGGCTCAGAGCACAGAGCTGAAGAGAGGGGACCTGAAATGAATACAAGCTCTGATCTCCTGCCCTTGCTTTTGGCAGCTGAAGAACAGGGCTGAGCACCCACCCAACCTACATAGAGAGGCAGCTCCCAGCCCTGCACTGCTGCCCTGCACCTCTGCAGGAAAAGCAAGGGCTGAGTGCAGTGACACAGGACGTGCCACAGACAAATGTGATGTGAGCCCAGTGTCAAAGGGCTTGCAAAGGATGGCGAGGGAGAGTGTGGTAATTGAGAAAACAGACTGAAGCTAGGTCCCTTTCACTTTGCATTAACTCTTCTGAACTCTCAGACATAAATTAAATTTCAGCATAACGGATTTCCAGAAACTACAATCCGATGCAGCAATTGTCAGATATTAAGTCAACTATGAGCGTGCCAGCCAAGCCATCCAACCATCTGGATCTGACAGAAACATATCTAGAAAGTCTGACCTTGTGCTTATAGCCCTTGATTACACTTCATCTGTTAGTTCTAAAATTGTTTTCCATTACTAGCTTTATTTCAAGATGTGAAATAAACACCATAATTCTAAATACCTGACTATATTTTATCAATATAAAATAGTTAGCTAATTTATAATTTTAAGTGAACAAAAAATAACTTTAAAAAACTGCAGCATGCCGATGAAAACTCCATACACATTTTAGATACTTCACTGTGTTTTAAAAATGTACCAAATTTATCTCTCCAGAAGTCACAAATTACATACAGATTCCCTGACATACAGCCCAGCTATTAATAAATCACGCTTAAAGACAAAGTGTGTAAAGCTCACCTATCAAAGGTACATTTTCAGATGGGGGCATGATCTCTGCAACCATCAGCTGGAACACAGTCAGAGCAAGAAGAACTGTGACACCCAGAGACACTTTCTCACCAGAGTCTGCAGGGAGGTAGAATCCCAGAGGGGCCAGGAAAGAGATCAAAACGCAAGGAAGCAACAGATTAAATATGTAGAAAGAGGACTTCCTTTTCAAAATCAGCGTGAAGGTCACATCTGGATAAGGTTCAGAGCAGCAGCCATAAGTGATAACATTCTTAACTGCTGGCATACCATGAATCTCCCATTCCACGTCCTCTATGAAGTCAGAGAGGTCACCACTATCAAGAGAATTGATGATGTCTACCTGATTACCATTATAGGTCCAGGACCCAAAGGTAAGGTTGCACTGCTGGCTGTCAAAAGGAAAATAAGACACATCCACTACACATGAGCTCTTTGTGATAGCAGGTGCATCCCAAGTGATTTTTCCATCGTATCTCAGCACTACATTAGTGTTTACTGGTTCTGAGAAGTCATCATCAGCCCTAAAAGACAGAAAAATGGCAATTAGGATTCACAGGCAACAACTTATGGACATGGGCCAGAGAAGGGGTACAAGGGGCAACACCCTCCTTACGCCCCGTTAAAAGCATGTTTCTGAAATTGTATTTACACTGAATTTTAGTAGGAACTTACTATTAACCATTATTAACAGCTATGAGTGTCCATGGATGCCAAATGCCAGGGCTGCTACATTATGTTGTATTTGTTGGCCATCGCTTCTTCAAACTTGGTTCAAACAGGATACAAATAAGAGTCCATTAAAAGATGAAAACAATGCTGGTCATCATTGGCCTGGGACAGCAGACAAGGAGTGCAGTCTTTATGTACCATTTTTTTGTGGACAATCTTCCAGAGCTCTCTAGAAGCTTCAGAAGAATGCACCTCCAGCAGCCAGAGTATTCAATTCCCAGTGCAGAGAAATTCAGAATACCTTGGTTGTGTAGCACAATTTTCAGATCTTGTCTATAGCTTTATTGCAAAATATTTAGATTGTCAACAACAAATGTTAAGACAACAAACATACCCCTTTCTAAGGTCAGGGAGTGATGAAAGTTCAGACTCTGTGAGCCAATTGCTCCTTTAACCCCCTTCCTCCCTCCCTCAAATATGCAAGCTGATTTTTTCCAGCCACACTCACTTGTTATATAGGACGATATCTGGTCTCCACACCAAATTGCTTGGAATCCTGATAGAATCCAACCCATCATATTTATCTTTGTCCCATCTGAGGTACGCATCGTACCAGCTTTGTCGAATCCATAAGTAAGCTGACAAAATTTGGTTCCTTTCATCCTGCATAAAAATGTAGAAATATTTCTAGCTGAAGGTGACAAAATCACATAAAATGCAGACAGCATTTGTGATACAGCTTTGGTGTAGTTCCCAAAACAGGCCAGAATACCAAAAGGCCACAAAATAATTCTCAGACAGGCATCTATGCCCCCACATTTTACAGGAAAATCACTATTTTGGACTTTGCCTGTCCAAACCTTCTTCCCTCAGCATCCTCCCTACTTTTAATCACAGTGTCTAAGGCTCCCAGTATCTTCCAAATTTCCTTTTGTGGGCTTGAGAATAACAAACAGCTACCAGATTCAGGCTAAGAGATTCTTTGAAAGCTTGGTGAGGCCTTGAAATTATAATTCAGAAGTCACAAAAATAATCTTCCCTTCTCCTTGCAGTCACATTTTCTTTTGCATTTAAAGTATATCTAGCAGAACCATATTTATAAGAATTACTGAAGGCTAATTTTAGGGATTTTGTGTAGAAATTAACTGTATCTTAGAAAAAGCATTTGCTGTATTTAAAACTCAGCAAAAATTGCCTGGAGGGTGTGATACCAACGCCTAACTACAAAAGAAGACTTAAGAATTCAGCAGCTCTACGTTTTTAGGCTTATAATGGAAGTTTCAAGTGTTGAAAGCAGATAAAAATCTACAAAAAAAACCTGGAGATCGGGACACACCCCCCACCCCATCAGCCCCCCTCCCTCCCCCACCTGTGAGGAAGCATTACTGAAGTTGTCACATGAAAATGAAGGCTGCTTTTCCTACTCCAAACAAAAGGCTTACACCTAGTATATTTCTGCATCTTCTTAGAAAAACAGGACTATACATTTACTCACCATGTCTTTAATTTGGGACAACGTGATCTGAAGGGTGACATTCAGGACTTTATCTGTGTCTTCCACTGGTCTTAGAGCATTGGAGTAGTCTTCAAACAGTTCGTTAAACAACATGTGAGCATACTTTCCTTTGGCCGATTCTACAGCTGGAAAACATGGACTTGATCAGTACATTAGATTAAGCACTGATCAGCATCAGAAAACATCCTCTTTCTACTGCCCCAAGCAGTATTGGCTATATTTATCATTCATATACTGTAGCATATAATTAGTTCTGTACCTAATATAATTAGGTGCAGAAGTGCATCTGATGAAGCTATTCAAATAAAGACAGCATTCACCTGGAGTAAATGAATAGCCAACTTAAGCTTTTCACACACATTGAAAAACATCCTGTATACAGCGATTCCTACTTTTTTTTTTGAAGGTAAATATAATTATTTTTATTTTACTGATGTCTTTCATAGGCTGAGATTACTTACTTCCAGTCAGCAAAGTCTGAAATCACACTTGTTCCCAGGCTAATGGCTTTTGGTATCTCCCCAAATGCAGCACTGCTAAGGTTCTGCTGCTATCAGAATTTAGTCTTTTTTCGTTTTGAACTACCACCTGTAAAAAGTCTGAGCTGCTTTTCTTCACAAGCTGGCAATTGCAGTATGTGTGAATACATCTTTGCACCGACATCTTTTCCAAACCACGTATTTGGAGATGCCTTGTGCTATCCAGACTTAGATATTAAGGATAATTCACTGAAACTTGAGATTTTAGATGACATTTGTGCTGTTTCATACTGTTTTCTACATCATAGTTTCTCTAGGCAGCCTCTGTATCATTTTTACATAGATTCACAAATTTCTGCAAGCAAAGGATAAGGACAACAGAACCACTGTGTTACAGCCAACCCCTGAAGCTGGGTAACTGAGGTTCTTTTTAATAGATCCTTTGGGATAGATCAGAGTGAAATGCACTGAATGACTGGTTATGTACAAATACCTATATTTATGTACGGCAGGATTATTTTGGAACAATATGGTTGCAGCGGTGTCACAGAAATTCTCCCACAACACCTTTTCAATGTTAGACAATTAGGCATTACTTTACTCTGGGCAGGATGTCACTCTGCAGGCAGGATGTGCAATAGAAATTATTTCATCCACACATGCCCAGGTTGTGCAGTGAAAATCATTCAACCATACGTGCTTCTTTACCAGAGTTTTCACCTATTTCTACATAAAAAACCCCAAAGAAATTCACGTCCATTGCTCTTAAATTACACAATTCTTAGTATTCGATTTATTGATTATTGATCCCTTTGCCTTCCATGCTAATTTGGTCCTCGTTCTTTGATTCTCTTATCAGTCTTTTCCCAGACCAGGTGTCTCCGACCTCAYCAGGGTGGATAATACCCGATGTTCTTTTCTTTCCTGTGTATTTTTCTGGCTACTCCCAATCTGTGGACATTAAGCTCATCAGACCTCACCCGGTAAACAGAGTCTTTTGAAGAGAAACTTCAATTCCCCTCCCCATGGGCAGAGGCGAACAAACCCCTGAGTAAAGTTACGAAAAAGATTTCAAAGTTTTATCATTTCCAGCGATGCGAAGGAGGTACATAGCTGTATTGGTTATTAGCTATAGAAATGAAACAATATAAAAGCATAAAGTTTACACTTAAGAAAATACAGACGGAAAAGAAAGAAAGAGAAAGAAATGATAACAGTAGATAATGGAGAGGACAGATATCACCACACACGATAAAACGTATTATCCCATCTCACAGTTTCTGCTTCTTGTCAGCCTTCTCCCTTATCTGGTTCAAAACCCGGCTTGTTGCTAAACAAAGGTTGGTTTGTCGCGGTGATCTCTGGTGATRGGTGCTCACCCTCTGTGCACCTGGGATGTTCTTATGCAGGTTCAAACACTCTCCTCCTCCTCCCCTTCGGTTGTGGGGTGCATTCCGGCCTCGTCAAGCTCCCGCTGCTTTTGCAAATGGCCGATTGTTTGAGTCATTATCACTTCAGCATTTCAGACTCTCGCACATTCACAAGATTTGCGCAAATGCCAGGTGGCACTATGCAGGGAACGAGTGCTTTGGAGTACATCTCTCCCTGTGATTCACGCTGACTTCCTGGACTAATTAGAGTTCAAAGCAAATCTTCCTGACTAAAGARATATCCCATCAAAGCTTCACAAAAAGCACTGCAATTCTGGTCCTACATGATCATTTTGTCTATGCATCAGTGAGACAAAGTAAAACTAAACAGATCAAATACTTCTGGGGCTCAGCCATGTAGGGCACATCAGGTCGCAAATTCCATCTGAGTAAAACAAACCGTAGTGCAACATTTATCTAGCAAGCAGTATTCTCACCTTTGAGTATCACTGCTGTGAACAGCAACCACAGAAGGAAGTAAAAGGAGGAGAAGCTCCTCATCTTCATTTCTGGACCTAAAATAAAACTGTCCCCACAAGGGGACAGAAGTGTTTATCACCATCCAAAACTAWCAAGAACAGTAAATCAAGTTGCAGAGCAGATGAAGATGCCGACACACTGATGCGCTGCTGGAAGCAGCTCGGTCCTCCCTCAGCAGCTGTCGCAGTCCTACAGCGATGGATGGGCTCTGTCCCTGCCACCGCCTGGGGCTCTGCCGAACCCTCCCTCTCCTGGTAACCTGAGCCTGCCTGCTCTCAAGCTAATGCTGGGATAGAAAACCAACAGATTGGATATCAGTGCGAAAATTGTGTTCCATTCCATTCCATTTTTTACTACAAGTTTAGATATCGTCCAATTTATGGCAAAGCCTTTTACAGTTCTTTGGTGAATYGTGTTTTACTATGCTTGTATTCTGCAACAGCCTGCTCAGAACCAGTTCTATGGAATTTGTAGACCCTCACAAAAAAATTGATTTGACTCAKTACTTTAATAGGTATATTTTCACTGTACATCACGCATCCAATATCTCACAGAAAAAGAAACAACAGCCCAGCCACGGCCTACTTACTTCCATGCCAACAAAACAAGGTTTTCATTGCAAAGTGCTGACACGGATGACATGCAATTGCACCAAAGTCAGGCAACACATCCAGTATTTGCAGTATCCCAATATCACTGTGCAAATAAGAACTTCAGCGGGTGTAGATAACTTGGAGACCAGTAGTCAGCACAGTAAATCAGGAGCAAAACTGGACTTTGCAGATAAAATCCTATTTCCCTTGTACAGTGCATTTTTTCACAGGTGAACTTGACAAGACTTTACAGAAAAAATAGTTACTGCACAGCACTTACATTTAACCAAAAGAGTTTCAGGAGAAAAATATGAACAAGAAACAATACCTTACCTGGCTTTCCATCTCACCCTGATGGTCAGAACTTCAAYACCTCTATCTGTATTACTCATGTTGTCAAGTTAATTTCCTAGTTCCACAGATATTTTCTTTCAAGTTTCTCAGACAAGAGATTACTTCCTCATCTCCACAGTCCAATCCATCCTTCCTGATCTGTTGCAGCCCATTTTGCCATCCTTTTAGAACAGGTAACAGGAAACTCATGTTTCATGTCTCTAAAAYAGAAAGTGAAAATATAGAATGAACTATCAGGAAAAAAAATGGTCCAGAACAGTCCTGATCCACAGGAAACATAAAATACTGTTGCTCCATACACATAAATCCCTCCATACACATAATTTCTGTACAGTGTCCCTACAAGCAGTCACTGGCTAATGTTTGTGCTTTTGAGGGATTTATAAATCAATTACATTTATGGTCAGGTTTACTAGGTGAGTAATAAATAATTTTGGTCATGACACCTCCGATGAAATCCATCTCTTGTCATTTCACTTGCAGAATTGTCAAAGGGGAAAAAAGCTGAAAACAGATTAGAAGCCAAAAAGGTCAGAACAGCCCCTAGGCAGTATGTAATAACCTGCTTTCTCCTTGGGATGAAGGTATATKCTACTAGAGACAACAAAAACCGGAGACAAAAGATTTTCAGATACAGTCAGATCAGTGCATTCRCAGGGGACAACTTCAGCCTGCAGCACACTGCCATTCTGTCAGCAAGGAGCTACAGATTAACGTTTCTCACTGTAATTAAAAGAGTGATCTGGGCTACTGCTTTAAGAGAGCTGCTACAAACACTCCTGGAACCAGGACTWGCCTTGCTTTACCACAGGCTTGAGAAAACTGTGGTAAACTGTGAGACCTTCTATATCAGTGATACACACTGGTCAAGCAGTGTGGGCTGATGTACTTTATTTTGCATAAGATCACCTATAAAGAAACCTGCACATTTATTGTAACAAAGTCTTCCTGAGGTGAAACTGCAGGTTCTCAAAAGACAAAACCATAAAGCATGTTTATATGTTGTTTACCCAATTTATTCTTATATGTACATACAATTCATTATATCAATTATAAACTTGCAAAGAGATAGATCATAAGCTCTGATTTATAATCTATGATATTTTCAGTCATCACCCTGAACATACAGACAGGCAAACATGAACATATATATTAGACATGCTTGTTATGTTTGAAATGCTTCATTCATTGCACAGTGCTTGCAAAAGTAAAACTAAAATGCATCCAAAAGCCTTTTCGACACTGAAGACACAAGAAATTAAAAAATGTTAGTATGATAGACCATTTGGATTCTTTATTTTTGTTCACAAGGTATCTGATTTGTATTTTTAATCAAAATGTCCTTAATGTAGATATTTTGTGTCAAGACTGAGCACTGACATTAATTTCTCATTGATCTGAGAGATTCATCTACAAACCCACACTTTCTCAGAATATAGTTTTAAATTTTGGCATAATCTATGACAATTTTACTCCCAGATCAAACATCCAATTTAAATTTTGAATGGAGCTTAAATTAATAGTTAAAGGGTTTTCCTTCTTTACAGTAAAAAGTTCGGCTACCAAGTCAGAAATTAACATAATATATGAAGCTGCTTACAAAAATAATTTAAGAAGAGTCACGGCTGTTTGGAAGTCAGAATGAAGCCATTAACCACTCCCAGAAGCAGAGTCGTCCCCAGCGGAAATTCCTCCCCAGGGATGCTGTCGGAGTCCCTGTGCCAGCAGATGGCTCTGTCACCCAGCCTACTGATCCACCCGCACAGACSAGGCGCTTTATCGCACTGAAATCACATCGCATTATAGTCTACTGCGATCAGTTTCGCAGATAATCTGCCTTGCATCTGATGTAAGACACGGTGAGAAAAGATTTTCTTTTAAAGAGAAGGATAAGTAGAAGGGACAAAACCGTTTGGTGTCTGAATCCGGAGTCTTCCCGAGCTTCCTTCTCGGGCAGGACCTGCCCGAGCCGAGAGCAGCCAGGAGAGGGTTGCAGGGACCGAGTGCAAGTCACTGTCACCAGCTGTGAGTCCATAAAAAACAGGATTTAGAGCCCAGGCTGCTTCTGCTGATGTGGAGAGGGATTGGGGCCCATGGCACTATATCCAACCCCGCTTCCAGATATTTTGTTCAAACATGGGACCTGGTGGGAGTAAGCATGAGCAGAGCGCTGCGTTCATGTGCACGYTCAGTGGGACAAGGTTGTACCATTGATTGGTGCACTGAGCTCATTCACCACTCACCTAACACGTGTAACTTTTTATGGTTCTAGACCTACACACACACAGTTATCAAGACATCATCAAAAATCTAAATTCAGTGTACTGCCATGTAAGGGAAGTTGGACTTTGCATGCGCTTCAAGGACAGACTGGAGATGACATTGGAGAGATCTCTTTCATGTTAAAACTTTCCAACTTTAGGTATTTATCCTAGCCAAACTATAAGCAGTGTAGGTAAGAAGTGTAAAAACATATTTTAAACTTTATCCTTTCAATCTTCCTTCCCCTGCATAAAATAATAATTTGGTCCTGAGCCTAAGGTTTTGAYATGTACATTTTCACAATTTTTAATGTATTCTTACCCTTTTTTGCATAAAAAACAGTAAGAGTTTTTAAGCCTTCAGCTGGAAAAGCTGCAGATACTGTACTTTCACGGGCCTCAAGGCCGTCTGTACCATTTATAATCCATCCCTTCATCAGAGAACAATAAAGAAGAACAGATTGGTTTCCAAGCACAGTTTGTAAGAAGTGTCTCACAGTCTGCTTCTACTTGCCTTGCTGCCAATTTTTCCCCACAGAAGCTGTTGCGTTCACTTTCTTCACAGCATTTGCTACTGARTATTATCTTGTGATAGGGTCAGGCAGCACAGTAACTGTTCAGAGTCAGACTTTTCTCCTTAGACTAACTGCTCTTAACAGCATGGGTAACAGCAGCTCTTGCTGCCAGCAGAGCAGCCTCACGGTGCATGCTCTGGAGAATGCAGCGCCTCATTTAGATGCAACGTGTTCCTCTCCACCTCATTTTTTCTCACCCACCTACTGCCTCCTCCTTCCTTCTCTCTAAAAATCCCCTACCACCCGAAACCAACATACTCATTCATATTTCCTTCCACCCTACTGTACACAYGGAAGATAGGAAATATATTAGGAAGTGTTCACAATTCTAGGTCATGAGATAATGTAGAAGATTAGCAACATTTTCCAGAGGTGGGAAATCCTCATTTACAGATTACAGTTGCAGGGTTTTTCTGAATRTAACTTATTTGGGTGCACTTACACAGGCAGCTCTGCAGACCACCTCCCAGMCCCTGAAGAGAAACTTTTTGAACCCCCAAGTCTGGTATTATTTAATATGGTCTAAAATGCAGCAGGTTACTCCTTTTCSACCACCATGCTTACAACCTCATTAATGTTTTGTCCATCAGTATCTGGCAGGATTAAGGACAAAGATAGTTTATCATTTTAGGTATCAGAAAGCTATTTTTTACACAGCTCTTTCTCACTGGGATAATTTCCAGCTTTGTAGCATGCCTTTGAATGGCCAGTTGTGGGATCTGTGCTCTACACAAAGACAACCTCTGGGCCTAGAGATAAATCACAAGATTGCTCTGATAGGCAACSTGATGCTCCAATCCAAACAGAATTAGAGAAAATCCCTGTCCTGTTACAAATGAGCTGATAGACTCGAACATCTTCCTCTTGATGATCACTCTTGACCCATGGAAGGCAGCACACTATCTCACATTTTGAGAGCAGACAGAAGCTTCCCAGCCAGCTGCAGGCTGAGGGCAGCTCTAAGTGCCTCACATTATATGTGTATCACAAAAAAAACAAAAAAAAAAAAAAAAAAAAAAAAAAAAAAAAAAAAAAAAAAAAAAAGCAGAAACTAAAAAAAAAAAAAAACACAAACAAAAAAACCAGACATTAAACCACTATCCGAAGAAGCAAGACTGAAAGGCAACAGTTTAGACACTAACTCAAAACTGAAGTTTCACTGCCTCCAAAATTTTGAGGTGGGTGGAACCTCCCCTTAAAACACTCCCAAAACTCATCATGTCCTCAGGAGTGTCTGCATAGAT